AATGAAATTTGGATTAAAGAGTTTGTCAAAAACATTTCCACCTCAATACCTGCAAAATTTTACCCCATATATATTGTAGAGCAGCCTGCCAGGGGCAACAAGGCATTGAAAATAATGGCAAATATATCAATGAACTATAATCATGATTCATCAGAAAATGCAAATAGGAAAACTGTGAAATTTTCAGAGGTACAAATGGCACATATAAACACTGGTTCACCACTTGAAGTGCAATTGAGTGACAAAGTGGAAAAATTCTGTGTAACATGGACTAAAAAGTAATGTTCTTATTGATGGAATCCAATTATATATATATATATATATATATATATATATATTACAAATTAACTGATTTAAAATATGCTTTCTTCTCTACTCAGTAATAACTATATTTCAAAAGCTGAAGCTAAAAACTTCAAATTTAATTATATAATTAAATTAAAAGCATTAGTTCTGTTTCAAGCAAATTTTCGAATAACTTATTTTTAAATTTACTGAGTTTTAAATGCACATGTAAATTTCTAATTTCCTGTTTCCAAGGATACAGAGAAATTCAATTATTCAGACAGGGGGCGGAAACATGTTCATTTATATATATATATATTTATAAATGTAAAAGACAATAGGAAAACTTGTAATAGTTGCCAACACGTTTTGTCCAATGTTGATTTTTTCAAGGCAAAACGAAATGAATTTATTAAACAAAGTAACTAATAATAACAAAAACAAAATGTCCTTAGCAACTGGAAGAATTTAGAGAATGCTATTTTCATACTGTTAACTGAAATTACGCCAATTACTGTCACGTGTGGAGATATCGTTTTTATTGCTGTGTTGACAGATTCAACCATTTTCTTTTGATTTCTTGATACTGTCCCGTACGTTTGTTTGTTTGTTCTTTTTCTACAGGTTAACTGAGAAATTTTTCACACACACATATATATATATATATATATGTATGTACTGTGAAGGGGAGAATATAAACAAAAATGTTGATTATAATTATACACCAAAGGCACCTTAAGGTAAGTTTTTGAATTTTAAAATTTAAATTTAAATTAAAAATTATCTTACTTATTATAAAACGCAGATTGTGTGTGTGTGTGTCTGTACGTTTATATATTAGATCTGATTTCCTACATCTTTCAACCGATTTCAACAAAACTTCACAGGACTACGTAAAATTACCTTGCGGTGGTTCTGACAGGGCCAAATATTGTAAAAACACAATTGTTTTTGCACGAAATCAATTTGTAAACACGATTAAGAGGCATTAATGAATGGGGGACAACTCATCTCGAGTTATAATTATTAATATCGAGTTATTGAGTTATACTTATTATAAAACCCAGGTTGGTTGTTTGTGTGTATGTGTTCTTTATATATGGGATCGGATTTCCTACATTTTTCAACTGATTTCAACAAAACTTCACTTTTTTTTGGCAGGTAGTGTTTCTTATTGTCTTGCACACTTTTTTCTTTATTTTTACATTCAGAATGCTTTAAAAATTCCATTTACAAGACGATTGTTTATAATAAAATTTTATTCAATTGGTAAACTCATAACGATTGAAAA